TTAAAGTAATGGACAAACAAAGGAAGAGGGTGTTGTGTGCATGCTCTTACTCTGGGGAGTTGGGGGCGGTCGTGCATTTCTACGTGAACAGCGGGAAAGCCAGAAACAAGTACCTCCCGCGCCCAGCGGAGGTCACCATGCTAGCACCACCAAGCACCGCTGCTGTAATGTCTAAAGGAGCCATCTGTCAGGTTGTATTGCAGGGAGGAACTTGTAATAATTTCTATTACAGTTTTCTTGTTATTAAATCAGCAAGGGGCCATGTCAAACATTGGGGGTCTTTGGCAAAAAAAGACTATTGAGAGTTTCCACAGGCTGAATTTCAGAGGGTGGAACAACACCCGTCTGCACACATGACAGCACAAGCTATTTGAGGTCAGCACCCTGAAATGGCAGCACAGGGCACGTCTGCAGTTTCCAGGCTCCCTTTCACCCTGGGCATGGAGCATTTGTGAGAGGGGAGTCGGGTGGAGGGGACAGCCACAACTCACCTGGCAGCACGTCCTGTGACTTCCGCATTTCCCCACGATCCTCATCATCACGGACCCAGAGCTCCACCTGTCCTCGCTGGATGCGGAAGATCAAGTCAGGAGCAGGGCCTCGATATCCTGTTTGGGCAGTGGTTAGAGAGTTTAACTATTGGTACTAGATGCAGAACAAGCAACTGAAATTTGGGAAATGGAGCCAATGAACTCAAGGATTATACAAAGGACTTGAAGGACAAGGGAAGATGGACATTTAGGATGGAAGGGAAGGCATAGCAGGGGGAAGAGGATGGTCCTTTTCAACCAGGTAGTGGACATGTGGTCATAGGAAGCAAATACCAGTGCAATTCCAGGCAAATGACTGGAAATGAGTTTGGACAGGACACACTAGGCAAGAGAGGGAGGAAATCAGAATAACTGCCCAAGGAATGGCTGTTACTGCATTCTTAGACACAAAGACTGGCAAATGATATGATCATGGTGAGAAGGCAAAGGGAAATCCTGTTATCAAGGATGAAGACTCCAGGGAAGGCGGCTGGATCAAAAGGAGGAGGAATATATACAAGTATGAGATGTGAGAGATCTAATCATGGACAGAGCAGTGGGGAGCAAAGGGA